TTCATCCAGATTTTTATGAAAATATTATTCACCTGTAAACTTCATCAGTTAGTTGAAATTGCAGGAGATAGAGCATTTCATAATGACCTAATTTTCTTTGTCAAGTAAAACTAATAGTCAAAGGAATATATAGTAAATAGTGGCACCTTACACTTACCTTCATGTTTCCACTACTGTCAAGCTGGATACTAAAATTGACTGATTTATATCTTTGTCATAGTTATTTTGTTGATATCAGCAAATGTAATTTTTCTAGGCATTTCAGTAGGCAATACTACAGAGTTGCTAATAGTTCTGATGTACCAAGGGAGAAACAACTTATTTGAGCAAGAATATAAAATAAATTCTTCTTAGCAGCAGTATAGTAATGATGAGACACGCTTATCCCCTAACCAGGGTCTCAGCTAACAGCTTATTCCCCTTCCCCACTATGCCATGAACAGAACAAATGCTGACATTTTCTTCAAAGAACTGATCATGAAATCTGCTCTTGAAATAACTTCTCAGTACATTTCCAGAACCATACAAAGACAAATCTGTGTGCATTATAGCCATTGTAGTTACAACTGCAAAAAATGTGAGGAAGGATGAAATTTTGAGCTGGGAATAATCAACAGCAGAATTCCTGCTGACTTCCTGGGAGCCAGAGCTCCGCAATCACTCTCTAAATATGTAATCTATGGTCACAATAAAAGAGTAGGATGTTTAAGTAATGGAATTTTTTAAATTACTGCCACAAAAATAGAAACTGGCTATGTATCATCATGACCAGCTATCTTTCAGAAAATTTATGTAACAAAATTGACATGAAGTCTTAACTGATGCCTTAATTTGGTAGTTGTACAAGAAATGAAACATCCTTCAAAGTTCACTCAGCAGAAGCAATTCTGTTTCTCCCTTGGCTAAAGGGCCTCCTACAATTTTACTGTTACTCTAGAGGAGATCAGTTAAGACAAGATTCTTTTTAAACTCAGAGTTGCAAATCCCTTTGCCTTTTGTGAGAATACAAAATATCTTAACCTGGAGAAAGGGAATGAATAAATGTCAGTGAATTGCCATCTGATGGTGATCTATATCTATTAATACAGATTTACTACCAAATCTGGAAAAAAAAAAAAAAAAGAGAGAAATTTGTAGCATTTTGTTGAAAATTGTATTTTTAGGATATATGTATTAATAAACATCTCATTTTTTTTACTATTGTTCATTTTCAAACTGTTTAAAAATGCCATCTGAAAAAAGTAGAATAGTCTGAGTGTTTATTCAATACTACTTCCTTTGTGTATTGTATTATCCATACTGGACAATGGAAAGCATCTAAAAAATGCTGGTTTTGTAAGTCTGAAATGTGAGGAACTACAAGCAATATAAGCAAACGTGAATTTCTGATGCATATTAAAATTGTTATAATTACACAGCATGTAAGTGGATAAAATACCGATAAACATCCAACACAGTAAATCATTGTTATTGTCATTTTCATAGGACCATAATAGCAATTATTATCACAGGAATGTTGTATAACTGGAAGGTGATACAACAAGTTTAAAATGCACACTATACAATAAACAAGATCAATCAAAATAAAATTAATCATCTTTGTGTTGCTAAATACTGTGTTGTCACGACGTAATGCTATCAGTGCTTCCCACAGAAATGGAGAGACCATAAGCTACCACGTGGCAGGTGGCAAACGAGTATCTGTAGCAAATGGCATAAAGCAAGACTGGCCTCTTGCTCCGTGTATGAGGGAGCCTGATGAGGGCATTTTTAGCTCCTACATCACCATGGCAAGTGAACTGCTTAGGTAATGTCTACTGTGAGAAGTCCACACATCTCAGTGCTTTCCTTTAGCTAAAGCAGCACACGCTTTCAAAGGCAAATACAAAACTTGAGCCAAAGAGAGTGCAACTCAGATTTCCCCAGGATGTCCAACTGTTCAAATGTGACCCTAATTCAGCAGTAGTATTGTTAGTTTTACGTGGGCTTAAAGATTAATAAAGAAATCTGTGCTTTAGCTATATAGCAGATAAACCATCAATTCCTGAAGCCTTAGAAGAACAGTGTTCTTGGACACATCACAGGAAAGAAAATATTTGTTTCACTAGTTCCTGCAAGCACATTGAATTGAAGGCCCGAATTACACCCATGTAAAAAGTGTTTTCTTTGTTACATTTATAATCCATTGCTGAAAAGGGAATGCCACAGGTGTTATAGAATCTTTCTAAACAGTATTCAGAATGACCACGTAAAAATTTTGAAGACAATCTCATCCACAAGTTAGTCACTCCTGCAAGAGTTTACAGTACTTAAACTAGTTAAAGGAAACTATGTATTTCAGGTAGCTCTGTGTAGGCTGCAATGCAGCTGGGGAAGAGGAAGATGTAAATGGCTGGTTAGACCGTGCTGTGTTCTATGCTTTAACACCTACCCATCTGGCATCAAGAAAGCCAACTAGCTGGAAGCTAGAGTGGGAATGCCCCAATACAGCTCAGTTTGCATTTGCACTAAGTCCATCTGATAACTGCAGTGACACTGTACATGATCTGAAAGTGAGCATAAACTATAGGTCTCCCCTTGAGCAATTTTTATTGGTGGCTATTTCCTGCTAGGAAACAAGATGAAATCTTATCACATATTCTCTCCACCCAAGGGGTAGGGAAAAATCTGTGATCTTAAACATGTGGACATAGAAAATACACAGCAGAGGAGGAGGATCTGGAGTGCTATAAGGGAGTTTCAGTGTGAACAGAAATTAGGCTCTTTAAGGTCATGTCTGCACGGATAATTTCAGACAGTCAGGAATCAACGCTGCCATTTACTGAGCTGACAGGACATGAGGCAACTTTTGATCAGATGCCAATGTAAAGATGCACAAAAATCTCAAAACACTAATGCGATCTCAGCCTCTGGAATGACTACTGCTTTTTCTTTGTTCTGTCTTCTTGTGATGGAGCGAAGGAATTCAGTGCTTCAATGAATTCAGGTGTCATTTATCAATGAGATTCTTAGAGCCAGGCAAAAAATCAAATATTCCCATATCTTAACTACAGACAGCATATAAAAATTGTGTGGCAAATTATTTCTTCTTTGTTACTGACTTGGACACACATAGTCTCAGAGCTAATCTAGTCTTCTGTAACAGCAGCAGACAGGGAGCCAACAGAAACACAAAGAATTATATCACAAATGTGTAGGACTGTACGATATCACAATATTCAGCATTAACTTAGTAAAGTATTAGCACAAATCCCACTGTTCTGATATTCTCTGTTCTAGACCATCAAGTGCTAAAATAGAATGGGCCTGACTGACACCAAAGAACGATACCATTATGTACACTGGATCTACTGTTACCCTGTCTTTTAGGTTACTTTTAATGCACACAACTGATTGTTTAAAATATCTTTACATAACAAGATCTATGGTTTATTTCTAATATAAAATACGTAATCATATATATATATAAAAAACATGTATTATATGAGCTTTGGTGATGTTCTAGACTGCAGACTCACTCGTTTGAACATTTTAGTTCTTGCATTTCAATTCTAAGGATTAGTTCTAGAGCTTCTTGGTTTTCCTATTACATATCAGTCTTGTCAAAATTGTTACGTTAGCAGCCATGTCTCAAAAGCAGACCAAGTTCTACCCTGTAGGCTTTGAACCTACTATTTTCTCTTATGTCATTCCTCAGTCTATATGTAGGAATATAAAAAAAAAAAAAAAAATTGTGATGTCACCTTCTAGGAGCAAGACTGGGTTTTGCAAACTTCTCCCTGTCTTCCCTCCTCCCAGATTTCCACAAACTTTATTCTCCTATGGTTAGGCAGAAATAATGAAAAATAAAACTAAGCTTTACAGCTTCGAATGCGATGTGGAGAAGATGGAGGTTACTGAATGCTCCAAAGCACACATACTGAATAGGTCTTTTTCTGCTGGGTAAGTAAATCTCTTCACTGAAACCTGCAGTTTTGAATGGGATCCAAGCTCCCAATCTGATCTTGTATGTCTGTGGTGTAATTCTGCAGTTTTGCTTGCAGGGTAGAGAGAAAGATTAAAGGACTAAAACTGTCAAAGGTAAGGAAAAAGTAGCTACAGTCCTCTGTGACAATGACAATACTCAAGAGCTGAGATTAAACAACACATGATGTTCTAATGGGAAAGACAGATCATAGTTGCCAGTGAAATCTTACTGACTCCAATCATAAGCTTCTCCAAGTGCTTTTACATATTGTTGCAAGTCAGAATACAAAAATCTTTAGTAGGAGAATGCTGATACAATGCTAAGGCCCTGGCTTTGATGGGGAGCATTTTGAGGTCTTTAGTAAAAAGGAATACTATTCCATGTACAGGCCTAGAAGTAAAAACAAGAATGTTGAGGTTCATCTAGGAATCTGCTCATACCACATTTCCACAATTAAACATATATTGTGAGACAGCACTAGACAATCAATTTGATTTTACACTGCCTCTACTTTCCAAAAAACACCATGTGGTCATCTATGTTATCTTTGGTGCAGTTGACAAAGACAAGAATTTCGCTGGCTTAGGAATGATAAATGAGTAGGTGACTCATTAACACCGAAGTATTTTTTTGTCTGACAGAAAGAATGGAAACTGATCAGTCAACCAAGAAATATCAAAATGATGACAGGATTTTCATCCATCTGTAGGGTGAGGTGATCATCTAGTAAAACCAACACTATTTACTTCTTCAGTGAACCTTTGCATACAGAAGACAAAATCTTTGGTTATGATTACAAAAATGAAGCACAGAAAAATATTTAAGTAAAACCCTAAATCCTGCAATACATGTTTCTTACTGCCAAATACATATGCAACCATTTGGTGTTTCCTTATTGGTATAAAAAAGCAATTTATGAAATGTCACTGCTGATGTAAAAAACCCCAGCCAAATGAAAAAACAAACCCAACACTGAATAACACTAAAAAATGCCCGTAGGTCCCCAGTTGAATCACAAGCTCACCATAAGAGATATCATTCTCAGTTTATTTACGTTCTTAAGCATGAACATTTATTTTCCCTTATTTAGTTCAGAACTCTCTTATAACTAAGGCCCCAAATCTACAATCAATAGAATGTAGGCACAGAAATTCCCCTCCATGCTGCCGTTAGCGAGACTAGAAAAAACTATGACTTGATCCAAAGTCCAGTAATGTCACTGGGGAGTTTTTCTACTTCCTCCAATGGGTTTACAAAGGGCATCTGAGGTCAGCAAGCTGTACTCCTTATTCTGTCAGAAATTCCACTGAGGCAGTGCAGTATCAGTCTCCACATAATTACATACATCTTCTTCCTGAAACTGAGGTCAGTCACATTAATTGTACTTTCATGAGATAATTTCTTTTGGAATCTAACTATCTTTGTAAAACAGAAATAAAATACATACCATACATCAGTTATGGCAATGTTTCGCACTACTCTAAAAAGATGCACTGTTTAGTTTTTAAACTTTTCTATTACTAGTGCTGGAGTTGTTTATAAATGACTGAAGAATTGCCTGTCAACATTCCCAGCTTTCAGTACTGATTCTTCTGTTATACATCAAAAGTAGTAAGAAACAATAAGCTCCTCAGGATCACCTGAGGTGATGCACTTGGGCATATACTTTGGAAATAGAGAGAGATTTGTACTGATATTCAATTAAATGCTTTTCTCAATTTTTTAAAATATAAAAAATACTGATAAATTACATCAACACATGATGCAAAATTTAAAACAGACATAAATGGAAAATGTTTTTATCATTGTTGCAGTTATCTAGAACTTCAATCATGGGCTAATAGACTACTAGAAAATACAATGAAAGAAAAATCTTACATAAAATAATTTTTTCCAAGTATTTTGTCTCTCCCATATTTGCAATCTGATAATAGCAGTTAAATAAATAAATAAATAAAAGAACATGATCCACAAAAACTTCTATCAAACATAGTTTCAGATCAATCTTGAATCAGTGATAGAATCCCAAAAGATCAGAATATATTTGCTGGATTAAGAACTGCAGCTTCACAAATCACACTGTATCAGCGTTACTGAGAATGTCATTCTCTGTTTTCCTCTGTAGTGGGTGGCTCTTCCTTTAATAAAACGCTTAACTGTTTCTGTGCACATGAGAGGAAAAGTTCCAAACTATGCAGATTTCTCTGATGGACAACTTGATCAAGCTGTTGAAATAAAAAAAAGAAAGATTGATCAACTTTAAAAAAAACTGGAAATAAATGCCAGGGTTTGTCAGCAAAAATTCAACCACATTCAACAACAAAAATCCAACAACCAAATTCAACAAGAAAACAACCAAAGTAACTTCTATGCGTGCAATTTAGTAACAACTTTTTAATGAAGTATTTGAGTTTCTTCAAAATAAAATGTATGTAAGACTAAAGGTAACTTTCCAACAGCTGTCAAATTCTACACAAGGAATTTGAAAAAACTAAACAGCTTAGCTGCCACACTAGGTAAGTCCCCACAGCATCTTTTAAAATAGCAGCTGTTGCTTTTATAAAAGATACTGCATCTGCTTTAAAATTAACATTACATACAACTGCTTATTGAAAAGTTCAGTGTACTGTTAATTACATGGCAGCATGTTTAAATAGTTCTCAGAGGAAAAGTGGTAATATTTTCTGCCTACTCTGTTTATTCCAATATTTTATTAGAGTCCCCTACTGTCAAACAATGTGAACTATACACTTACTTTCAGTGAATTCAATGGCCCTTTCTTCCTCACCAAATAAGATAAGAACACAGTAACAAGACTTGGTAGGTTATGGCATATAGATGACATGAAAATATGCTTTATGGAAAGGTATTTGAATTTCCTTAACATCATAACATTAATAAACAAAATGTGCTGCAGAATTCCTTTAATTTGAATTTTAAAGTTCAAATATCAAACAAATAATATCATAACTGAGACATGTTTTCAACTTGACTACCTTTTAATCAGTCACAAATTCAACTAAATAAATATACAACAATGACATAGGGTGATACCGAAAGGTAGTAGTACAGAGCTAATAGGACATAAAAAATTATGCCACTCAAGAGAAAGAAAGTAGTGGAATTTGGAAGAAGTCCAGTTCCACACTTCTGTCAAAGTGTTGTGCACAAGTCTATAGGCAATGTCTCAAACTCTGTAACACCAGCAAAATGCTAACGTGAGGCCATGTGGCCCTAGCAGACTAGAGCAACCAGTCTAGCAGACTGGTGACCATCATCTACAAATGGCCACGTTTTTTCAAAAAATATATCGTACCTAGCACTCACAGCTTTAATTATAGCTCTTAACAAAACCTCTGATTCTATAGTATCTCTGCACATATATGCTCATCATTCAGCAGTCCAGTTAGTTGCTCTAACAATCACTGGAATGGACATTTTATTTTATAACATATTGTCGTGGTTTAAGCCTGGTCAGCAGCCAACCACCCTGCAGCCGCTCACCCACCCTCCCCCCTGACCTGGGAATGGGGGAGGGAATCGGAGGGGTAAAGGGGGACTCACAGGTTGAGATAGGAACAGTTTAATAATGGTAATAAAAGAGAACAATGACAATAATAGGAAAAAAAAATATAAACAGGCAATGCACAATGCAATTGCTCACCACCTGCTGACCAATACCCAGCCCGTTCCCGGTGAGCGATCCCGAAATACCAAGATCCCGCAATCGCAATCCCAGAAGAGAGAGAGAGAGAGTGAGCCCCTTCCCAGCCACCCCTCCTCTATATAGTGAGCATGATGTTCCATGATATGGAATATTTCACTGGCCAGTTAGGGTCAGGTGCTGTGGCCGTGCTCCCTCCCTGCTCCCTGTGCCCTTGCGCACGGGCAAGACACGGGGAGTCAGAGAGTCCTTGAAGTCTCGGTAGCAGCTGAAACCATCAGTGTGCTGTCAGCACTCTTTTCATACCAAACCCAAAGCTAAATCCAAAACACAGCACCCTTCTAGTTCCTGAAAAGGAATATTAAGTCTATTTCAGCACAAACCAGGACACATATATCTTTAAAAAATATTAATACAGAATGCAAAGCAAAGTTACTGATACCTTCGCACTTTGCCACTTTGAAAATGCACTCAGGGTACAGCTGCAGCGCTGTGATTGAATACACAAGAGGAAACATTTTTATGACCCTCTTCTTTGTTGGTCTTTAAGTTCCTCTTAACATGCAAAACCAGGCTCTGGTAGTTTGAATATCTTGGCATTTTGTTTCAACAGAGATGAATGTGTCAATCTAGTCACAAGCAGAATACACACATATTTTCTAGAAGGCACACAATCATAAAAATCTCCTTCAGTAATATATCTGCTTGTACTTCTGCAAATTTCCAGCTGTTGTGCAAATTTTTGCATCTCTTAGCAAAAGCAGACATTAGTGCTCCATACATAGCCTGATGTGAACCTAGCCCACTGATTTACAACAGATTTTAAAGCAAATCTAGTTCAAATAAATTTCGGAAAAGTTTGCTCTTCATGTATTTAAGTAACAGCTGGTACTGATAAGAAATTACAGACTTAGAAACAGCAAACTAAGCTCTAAAGAAGCTGTATCTAGAAAAGACAGTCTGGAACAAATGAACAACATAAGCACACTGTTGTGATGGTGCATTTCTTCTGATTTGAAAGGTATCTTGCCTCCTTCGTCCTCTCTTGTCTGAAATATAAATAATATTTTGAATGGGGAAGCTTGCAGATGTTTTTGTGCTTGTGACCCATATTTCTCTGAGGAATGGGCAGATATAGTGCAATTTACATAATATCATATGTTACATCTTAAGAATGAACAGGAGAAACCTCTTTCTCTAAACATATGTCATCAAATTCTGTCACTTCTGGTAGGTGTATCAGTTGGAGGAGCTTAGCATGAAACCAATTTTCAATGGTTTCCTTTTATTGCATATTATATCATCTATACTCCTAGAGAGATCTTTATTGAGCTTTGACAAAAAGCTTTGGCTAAACTCTCTATTTTCTTTTCTTGTAGCTTTTCCTTGAAGATTCTTCTTTAAAGAGATCAAAGTAGCTTGCCAGATGTGTGTGCTAATACGCTGCTGTTAACTTTCTTTACCAAGGCAGCAATCTCAAACTGTATACGGTTAAATTTATTTCACCAAGTACTAATGTAAATGTTTAATGTGTGTAGTGATTGGCTGCAATATGAACAAAACAGATTTTTTTCAGGCTTGAGAAAGATTTTAAAAGTCTCATATGAATTAAGTACACATTTGAGGAGTCTTTGTTGAATTCAAGCGGTTAGTTGGTAGTCTCCCTTTGTGCATAAGAAAAGTTTATTGCTTGTTAAAAGTTTATGTAAATTCAATAACATAAAAGTTCAGAATTCAGTTGCCCCTTGTCTGCTCAGCTTATGAATAAGCCTTGCCTCGAGCAGTGTGTTTCAAAACTCTTCCATGCTACAGTAAATGACAAAACACCCTGAAAAGACTTTGGATCTTCACATAGCACAAAATGAGAAGCAGCAAAACGATGCTGGCTTTGAAAATAGTACATTTGCATGTATTCAGAATGAGAACATTGCTATTAATGGAGAAATTGACTGGGAAATAGAAACAAATCCAGTGAAGCTTTGCTATATAATATATTGTTTAATGAAGTGTTAGCAATGGACACATTTTTTTGAACAGTGCCTCAACACTGCTGTGCTTCTGCTTGCATAATATACCACGAGATGTGAAAATATTTAAGTAAGGCCTTTTAAACCTTGTTTTTCTAAACAGTCTTCCCTCTATATTTTTAGGTCCTGTTCACTTCATGGAATGATCTCATTATTTAAACAAACATAAATGGACATCTGGGAAATTCAAAGCGCATGTGACTCATATGCAAATGTAATCAGGATGAATAACGTATTAGGGATGGAGCATTCACACAACCAAACCAACTGTTCTAATTCTATAGATATTGAAAAATACAACATATTGATCCAGATCTACCACAAGAAGGGAATTTCCTACATCACACCATCACTGTTATTATTAATCAATGTTTCTCTTCCACCATATGAAATCTACCCAATTCAAGGTTCCCAATTCTGTACCCTGTGCCTTACTGGCACAGCTTTAATTAGCTCAAAGTTTTAACATCCCTGAACTTCATTATTTCAAATTACTCAACAGTATCTTTTTAAATCTGTACAGGTATTTTTTTTAGGAACCAGGAGTTGATTCTCTATGTACTTGTATGGAACCTACTGAGGAACTGGCTACATAAGATTTGAAAAAGTATTCCTGAACTCCATAGGGTCTATGCCACTCCTGCAGTTCCCATAATCATTGAGACACATTCGATTTCCAAAATGGAGCTGATTCTTACAGGGCATTATAACACGTCGCTGTTTTTTCCCTTCTGATTAAACTTTCGGTCCATTTTTGAAGTCTAAGTTTGATTCCACCATCCTTCTGGCCGAAGATGACTGGATGAGACTCCCCGTGGGGTTCTGCCTCAGTCATATCCATGGACCACCCAGAATGACGTGCCTTTGAGCCATGCAAGGCATGACCTGAAAGGAGGCACAGGCCTCAGCAGAACTCCTATCACTGGATGCAAGAATTTAACTTGGGAAATAAAAAGAAAGGCTCACACATAACTGTGCAGAATGCTGCCACCAGGTGACTGCTTTCATCCCAGGCTGCTCTATTTTACTAAGTCTCTCTTCCCCTGTATCACTCCATAAAACCATAGCTCAGACCAAAGTTAGTAATTATTCTTAGCTCTACATTTTCATAGCTTTTATTGTACAGCTCAAAATTTCCGTAAAATGGAGTGAAAGTCTACATGGCCAATGTCTAAAGAAAAAACAGTTTCTTACACAAATAACTGAGCATGCACATCCCCCATATTTCCCCATGTAATATCTACCTGCGAATAGATGCTTTCATGGCATATGTGCTTAGCTTCCCCTACTGAGTTCAACATTTCAAGTTGCTAGAAGAGAAACCCAGTCAGAACTCTATACATAATAACTACTGTATGTCAGAATTACGTTATCCATCACTAGTAACTAATGGAATATCTTATGGAAAATATAATTTTAGGTTTAGCATTGAAGATTTAAGGATGAAATTCTGATCTCACCATAGTAAAGATATGTTTCGTCTCACCGTGGCCAGAAGTTCACCCAGAAAAGTGAAGAAAGCAAAACTAACGTT